TAATTTTTTTTTAAAAAATTATACTTTGGGTGGGGTTTGGGGGTATATGGTGTCTGGAAGTTTCAAGTGATTATTTGCAAGAATAACACCTTGAATTTAGATAAATTATCCTCCAAGCCCTGCAAAGCAGAGGTACAGTAGAAAGAGAACTAATCAGCTGGGTTTGGTTTACATTCCTGGCTTTGACTGATTGGCTGCGATCATGAGCAGCTCCCTGGGCCCTTCCTGTGTTCAATTTCTTTCTCTGCAAAAAAGGGATGAATGAGGCTTTGTCTAAACTCCTAAAATTCCATTTTCAGCCCTGGTCTCAAACTTGCCATTTGCACTGCTGGAGGAGAGGTGTTGCTGCCTGCCATCCTATAGAAGGCAAATATAAGCCAGGAGACAGCCATGCAGCTCCGCTCTCCCAGGAGCCGCCTGGCACTCTCTATAGGCATCAAGAATTATTTAATGAGAATCTCTGGGAATCGTTATAATTAATCTTTGGTGAGCCAGTATATTGTAACAAGTCAGATTCACCCTCACACATTCAACCATATACTGATCGCTACGTTTGGAGCCTCCTTTGCTGTCAGAAACTAAAAGAGCAAGTTATTAAATTATTCTCTCACTGAAACTGAGCTATTCCCTCCAGTGATGGTGTCAAAACAGGACAATAGGCAGTTACAAAGGGACTTGGCAGCACCACAGACCACTGTTTTGTAACGGGGGTTTGGGCAGGCTGGGGCCAACCCTCAAAGCAGGGTGCCCAAAGCTCTGGGGGAGCCAGCTCTGCCCAGTGCTGCTTCAAACCCCCCAGATGTCAGGTTCTGCAACAAAAACTGACCAACTCACCTTCATGAGCCATGAAAGTTACTAGCAAGGAAAGTGGATATATAAATGCGCGCACACACACACACACACACACACACACATACGTATGTATAGGGAGCTACTTGAAAGAATCATTAGAGGCAGGTATATGTTTACAAATTGCAGCCAAGCTTTGTAGAAATATATATTTCTTTAGCAGCTAAATAGAAGAAAAAGTCCGGCTGGTGTAGCTCAGTGGATGAGCATCGGTTCATGCACCAAGAGGTTACCAGTTCATTCCCCAATCAGGGCACAGGCCCTGGTTTCCCAGGGAGCATGCAGGCAGCAGCTCCCTGTTGATGTTTCTCTCTCATTGATGTTTCTATCACTCTCTCCCTTTCTAAAAGCTCAATAAAAAGATATATATTTTTTTAAATGGAGGAAAGAGACTGTGCCCATAACCATTACAAGTTTGGTTTCTTTGACTGTGATTAGTCACCAAGCCAGGCTGCTCTGTGGAGGTGATGAGTCAGCCCTGACAGAGCAAGCCACACCACTCGGTAGAGTTTGCCACAGCCAAGTACAAAACACTTGCAAAAAAACCGAACTGTTGGCTCAGTACGAGCGGAACTGCATGTGAGTTATCAGCTTCAGGAGAAACCAGTGGAGGACTGTGACTTAATTAGAACGTTGAAACTCGTAAAGAGTCATTTCCTGTGTCTTTCTGTACAGTAAGTTGAATACTCATTTATCAGTTATTTCAAAAGCAAAGCATGTCTGGTCTTAAAGGACTGCACACAGTATGTGTGTATTCACTCTGTTCCAAACAACTGGCAGGGTTTGAGAATATTCAACATAACTGTATTTTTTGGACTGTTTTTTCAAGTTTTTATTTCCAGAGCTCAAGTAAACATCAAATGCTTCAGGTTAATGCCCTGGCAGGGAGCAAGCACTCCCACATCTACCATATCTCAGCAGTTCGTTCTGGCTTTGCATCAAGGTGTAGCAGAGTGGAGCTCTCTTTCCTCAGGTTTTAAAAATCCCTTCAAGATAAAATCTGATTCAGAATAACCCTCAGACCCAGGAGCTCTGCCTACATGAATAGTTTAACAGGTCATCTAACTCTCCTGAGTCCTCTGGCCCCCACCTGCGCCATCTTTGCTAACCAGACTCACTTTATAGGCAAGGAAGGTGAAGGCTCTAGAACACACACATCATGGCATTTATTTGCCTTTCTGTGTGGTGAGGGTTTCTAACAAGGTCTTTGAGAGAGATGCAAAGCAAGGAAGAATGCCTTGATGAATAGATTCATATTCATTCAATAGAATAACTGTGTTCATAGAGTTTATTATTCATTTTTCCTGTGTCACTAATTCTGGACAGTGGCAATATTGTGCTCATATGGTTGCTCCCACTTTACTATGAACATAAATTTGGCTCACGTTCTATTTTAAAAAGTCAGAATTAGTTAATGCTATTTTTAATTGCAATAATATCCTGTTTTTAAATCTAAATGATTTGGACTGAAATGCACATTATGTGTATTATATGCACATGTAATCTCTGTATCTATACAGGCATAACAGAAGTACAAATATCTAAATATCCTTCTTAAAATAGTCTTTAGGTAATAATAATATTTACATAATGCTTTACTACAAGTAAAATGGTTAAGTAGTAGCTCTGAGATTGCACTCATAGATTTCTCTGCCATTTCATAGTATATCCATACTAGCTCCTCAAGGGAGCTACTGAGACAGGCCTCTGCCAATTCTATAGGGAGCACTGGAGCTGAGATAGGCCTTACGGCTGTCCTGATTGAGACAAAAGGTCCTGATTTTTTTAAAATTGATTTTAGAGACAGAGAGAGAGGGAGAGAGGGAGAGAAGGAGAGAGGGAGGGAGAAAGGGAGGGAGGGAGAGAGAGAGAGAGAGAGAGAGAGAGAGAGAGAGAGAGAGAGAGAGAGAGAGATTTGTTGTTCCACCATATTCCCTGACTGAGGCTCGAACCCACAACCTTCGCATTTGGGACAATGCTCTAACCAACAACCAGCTGAGCAACCCAGCTCAGGGCCTGGCCTTTATCCACTCCCCAGAGACCAAGCATGGGATGTGGATTACCCTCAAGAGGGTACGCCCTAAAGCTTTATGGTTCTCCCTAAGACCACACTGAGGACAATTCTGAGAAAAGAACTCACTGAGAGCATGACAGTCACCAACACTGCCATACCAGGGGACCGAGTATAAGAAATACATCTATAATAGCAAAGTTATAACGAAACAATCAAAATACTCAATGTTTCATAAGCATATGAAGCAAGACTGGACAGTAATAAGCAAATGAAAATAGAAGTACTATAAATAATGTTTTTTCTCTTTTTTTTCAAAGTTGAACTCAAGGATGTTGTTATCATACTGTTCTTACCATTTTTTTAAGTGTATATTTTTATTGATTTCAGAGAGGGAGAGAGAGATAGAAATATCAATGATGAGAATCATTGATTGACTGCCTCCTGATTTTCCTTCTGGTTTTCTCTTTCCTTCTTGTTGTAGAATTTTCAGTCAGTCGACTACCTGTAGCTCTGGGCAATGTCCATTTTATATTTTAGTTGTATTCCATTGAAATTGTTGTGTGCGGCTGCAGTTAGGTGTTTACCTGAGCAGCCATCTTGGATCCTCCCCCCTGATTGACTGCCTCCTGCACACCCCACAAGGGGATCAAGCCAGCAACCAGGGCATGTGCCCTGACGGATAATCAAATTGTGACCTCCTGGTTCATAGGTCAACATTCAACCACTGAGCCATGACGACTGGGCTATTCTTACCATTTAAAAGAAATGCTGAGATCTCAGAAAATATCATTTATAGCTTTAAAATGCCAGGTATCATATATTAACATCACTATAATGATTCCCAAGCCAGTTTGTGTACCCTAAAATACAGAGGGAGCTTCTATGCACTCATATATGTACTAACTTATTAAATCTTCTCAGTAACCCTAAGGTTGATACCTTTATTAACCACATTTTGCGGAGAAGAAAATTGAGTTTCCACAAGGTTATGTAACTCAAGATCTGCATGGCTAGTAAGTCATGGACCTGGGACTCAAATCTTGACTGTTACCAACCATGCTTTATCACCTACTGTATACCTTTATCTCACACAATACCCCTGAAGTCCCCTCCCAATGGCAGCAGTTTGCCTTCTTAGATTGCATTTCTTCTTTTTTATTTATGTATTGATTTGAGAGAGGGGGAGAGACAGAAAAATGCTAACTTGTTGTTCCACTTATTGATGCATTTATTGGTTGATTCTTGTATGTGCCCTGACCAAGGATGAAACCTGCTCTAACCAACTGAGCTACCTGGCCAGGGTTCATTACATCTTAAAAAAAAAAAAAAAAAAAAAAATCATGCTTAAAATAGTAGAGAAATGAAAAACCTTTCAGATTTTCTATGTTAAATTCTTTTGAGATTTAAAGGTTTTTTTTAGATGCCAATAAAGATTGTAAAACTATTCTATTTTTCTTTAAAGAATCAACCCTCTATTCTGCTCTCAAGGAAAAACAGGAAGCTTTATAGATACCTGTTTGAAGAATGATTCTCGGAGCCAAGGCTCTACCCTCTCAAGAGGCATAGAAGCACTAGAATCTCTTTGGGACTCAAGCAATTCAAGCCAATTACTGGAACCATTTCTCATCCTCTGGGGCATTATGGAAAATTCAACTCAAATTCATTAGCATTCTGAAAGGTAATTATTTTCCCAAAATATCTGAGTGAATTTTTAGGTCCTATATTCAAAATGCCCAGCTAATGTTTTTAAAAATAAATTTCCAGCCAAAGCCGGTTTGGCTCAGTGGTAGAGCGTCGGTCTGCGGACTGAAAGGTCCCAGGTTCGATTCCGGTCAAGGGCATATACATTGGTTGCGGGCACATCCCCGGTAGGGGGAGTGCAAGAGGCAACTGGTCAATGTTTCTCTCTCATCGACGTTTCTAGCTCTCTATCTCTCTCCCTTCCTCTCTGTAAAAAATCAAAAAAAAAAAAAAAAAATACATTAAAAATAAATTTCCAATCCCACAAATGGTCTTTCTCTTCCCAGAATGGTCACGGGATTTTCGACAGACAAGCCCTTTAGAATGCTTCTCTGATAGGAAAGCAGAGTGTCCGTGCCCGGTCAGCAAGGCCTTCAAAAGGTCCACAGGTCAGCCATCTCATTTGATACTTTATTTAAAATGGAATGCATTTTTAAAATATGAAAAATAAACCACATCTCTCCAAATCATTTAAGAGACATATTTACACAAATTATGAGCATACTTAAGTTCAGGAATGTGATAGTAAAACATTTGGTACATTGTGATACTTGTTTTTCAGAAGCCGATACTTGCATATTCTGAAACTAAGCAGAAAGCCGACAGTGGAATGTAACAGACAATCATTTTATCTTCCTTCTCAAAATTAATAATAGGAAGGATTACCTATTATACAATCCAATTCCTCACAATCCCACTGGTCACCAGTAGGCCAGCTTCTGAGGGATAGGGAATTGGCCTCTCCAGCTTTTATGAATGCCCCAAAGTCCTCCTGCTTCCTTCACTGGACAATAATGCCCTAAGGAAACCCTGCTGGATCCTACACTCCATTTAGCAGATGTCCTGCCAACGACATTGCAGATCACGTTGTCATCTAATGTTATGTAACTCTAGATTGGCTGTACAACATACAGATCAAAAAGTCACCCTTCAAGTTGTGTCCAAACTGTAGGAAGTAGTTACTAAAAGCCCACCCAACACAATTGAATAATTAATACATCTCAGGTGGTTTTGGGTAAATTGGTATATTCCTTTTGAAGGAATCACTGATGTATTCAATATCAAGTTCTGAAGCTTCCAAATTTAAATTTTAGCTGGCTGAAGGCATTTTACTGGTAAAGCAAAAGGAAGTTTGACATTTACAAAAAAACAAAAACAAAAAGAAGAATGAATGTTCACAAGCCCATCCTCATCCTACAAAGCTCTGTGTTCTATGGGATTGATCTAGTTTTCACATAAGTCTTAGACCCTCTTCTAACCCTGCCATTGAACATGATATTGTAAACACTTGGAGACAGGCTAAAACCAAGTCACTTTCCCTGGGCACTGAAAAGAAGTGATGCGTTTGAACTTCCACGATAGCAAAAACTTGTATCAGATTTAAAATGAGGAATCTTTAAGAGAAAAGGGTATATGAGGGCAGTTTTTTTTTGTTTTTTGTTTTCTTTAAAGCACCCACACACCAAAAAAAAAAAACCTTTTAACTTAAGCCAGACTTCCTAACAGTGTTTACATCTGAGGGGAATTCTTTTGAGCAGTGAGTTGAGTTTTTCTACCTCCTTTTGAAAAAATGTTCAGTGAAATAAAAGTTGGTTCAATTTCCATATGAGGAAATTCCAGCTTCCTCTGAGGGAACTGTTCATTTTGAAAGAGCCCTTTATAGGCCTTTCCTCTGACCTCAGCATTCCCTGTAGGGCATAAGCAGATCTGATTTCCACTAAGAGAGTATGCCAAAGGAGCCTCGTCACGTTGTGTAGCTGGTCCAGGATTAGCTTTTCTCAGGGAATGAAATGAGCGTAAAGGAAGCTCAGTGTGAGGCAAGAGAAGGAGAAACCACCTTCTGGGTGCCAGAGAGTTACACATTTTTTCCTCCTTTCATTCATTATTCTCAATAAATAGTTATTGAGCTGTGTACAAGGCGGAGGGCCAAGAAGTTCAAACACAGAAGTTCAGTTTCCAGATGGGAAATCCTTTAAATTTTCCAACTTTTCACATTTTATGTTTATTTAAGGGGTGAGTTTTCTGTTGGACCTGCCCTTTCCTTCTTTTTCTTGGGTTGAAAGAAGTACTTTTATTTTTTTCCATGAAGGAGATTGGTTAGGCCTGTTTAATAAACTCTCTTTTACAGGTAGAACCACTGGGACGCAAAATGTTTGCATTTGTATTTTGTTTTGTTGCGCTTTGTCAAGCATAGCTGTTTCTTTGTTCTGGAAAGTTATTCAACCATAATAATTTCAAAGTGTCAAAACACAAAAACCATCCCACTCCTCTCCTTTCTCATTTTTGTCTTCACAGTTAAATATTAAGAGACCTTCTAACTAGAGAGCCACTAAGAGGGTCAACTCAACATAAATATCACAGCAGGCAAAGGACTAAGGGCTGTGGAAAGACAGGACAAGTAAGAACCATAGACATGGTGGTGGAAAAATTCCACCATTCAGAACTTAGCCTATATATAAACTTAATAAATCTTAATTTTAAACTACTTGGAATAAATATTATCTTTTTTTTATAGCACAGTAATTTGAAGAAAAATCATTCTATCTGGAAAAAAAAACTGGTTTCATGGTTATATGATCTACATATTAAAACACTGGTACAATGAGGCATTATCTTAAAAGTACAGCAGGGGTTCCAAAGAAGCTGAATCAAACTTGGCTTAAGAACTCTTTAGATTTGACTCTCTTAGCTGCCATCATATGAATATATATATAAAATTTTTTAAAAATCTTTGCAGCATATGTTCTCAGCCACAACTTAAACAGCCTCTGGAAATGGGAGTCCCCTTAAATTCTATTTGCCATTTGCTCAAATTTCAGATTACCCCTGCAACTTTTTGGATTAGAGTTTTATGGCCTCCAAATTCCATTCTTTAAATATTGCACTAAAAAGTAATTTAACCATGAAACTCCTTTCCAGAGGGAAGGAGAATAAAGGCATCTCTAGCATAAAATTCTGTTTTCATTTCTTGACTACATAACTTAGCATGGGCTTAATATCGACCGTCTAATTCGGATGCTGGAAAAATACTGATCAAGACTTTGCAAAAGATACTGGAAAACAGAGGCCCGTTAGTAAGGCCATGCAGATAGGAAGTGATTTTCAGCCCCAGGAGGATGTTGTATCATCTATGGCTCGTTTTAAATTGAAGCAGCATCTGCCCCTGTGGATTTTGACTATCCTTTTGATTTAGCACAGAAGAGCGTTTGTTCCACCTTTAAAAGGACACCCCCCCCCCCCCCAACCCCTCAGGAACAAGTGGCTGCTAAAACAAGACTGGGGTTGTTTTCCTACTGAAAATCCTGTGTTTATCCAGTCCTTTCCTTTCAATTTCTAAGTTTAGTTAACCTAACAACAAAACCTATAACCCTCCAATTTCTCACAGAGCAATAAAAAGCAAAACAATTGGTTTCTCTGATTAACATTTTCAGTGAGAAAACAAAAATTTATGACTCTCAGACCTTTGAAATAGTTACAAACTGTATTTTTAAACTCTTTAAGATTCTAGGATATGCTTCTAGAATAAAGTAAGGAAATGTGGTTCCAGTAAAATGTGCAAGGCCCTTGGTGAAAGGTTATCTCTAGTGTGGACAGAACACAAAAATGTTCTCAGACAAGCCGATTTGTCCTCATTATGTTTTTTGAAATGAAACACCTAGTGCATTTATACTCAGAAACCATAAATATCTCCTTATTACGCCCTTCACAGATGGCATAAGCAAGGTTTTTTTCTACAGCAGATTCATTTTCTACCACACATTCAAAATCATCCTGCCATCAGGTGGGTTATGTTTTAAATATTTTGAATTAGAGATCATTACTAATTTCCTTTTAGAAAAACAGATTTTCACAATTACACCACTCTGAACATTTAGCTTCTTTAAACTTCTATTCTACACAACACAGCTTCTAAAGGGGAAAAAAATAACCTCAAAAAAAAGTTATATATCACAGAGTTTAATTTCAACCACCTGGCATAACAATGAGTGTGTCGGGGTTCCGAAAATGACCTAGGAATAATGAATGAATGAAGTCTCAAGGTTTTCCCCTACACCTCCCTTTTTTCCTTTCCAAGATTAGAACTTACTAGAAAAGAGGTTTTTTAAAATAAAGTTCCTTTTTTGGAAAAACGGCCTACATTCAGAAATGTCTTAGAACAAATATTTTTTTAAAAAAAACTAATAAATAATCATAAATCAAAATACATTAAAATAAAATTACAGTACATCTTCGCTCCTAGAAGGTCCACCCTACTGGGAGAGGTCCTTTCAAAGGTTCATAAATAAAGCCTTCTAGCCTTGCAATCATTTCCTGCATTGTGATGAGGAAGAGTATGCAGAAAACTCAGAGGAATTGTGTAAGTTATCGGTCGGCTGATGTCCAAACTACTTGATCCGGTGCAGCGCAGGGAGACTTGTTTTCCACCCACATGAGGACAATAGAAAGGCGCTCTCACTTCGTCGAGTCCTCAGAACCTGGAAAGAAAGGACACCGAGTGAAGTAGGAGGCTCAGGTTCCTCCAAGACCCAGTTCTCTCCGGGCCAGTCAGACAGACGGACAGAGCGTGCTCCCTAAGACACAGGGGTCGCTCCCTCAAGTGCCAGACCCGGCAAGGGCCAGCGGTGCCGCCGGCTGCACCCCACCGGACGCGGGCGGGCAGGGTGGGTGGGCAGGTGGCGGTCGGCAGGCCTCCCCACCCAGCCCGAGCCCCCCACGCTCCCCTCTCTGCCCGGCTTCTCCTGGCTCTAGCTTGCTTCGCTTCTTCCCACCTGCCCAGAAACTTGAAATAACTTCTCATTCCTCCACCCAAGAGCCAAACCCGTGAACACACTTCCAACTCCTAACAGCCCGAGACCCAAAGCTCGCCCGGCCCTCGGGAGCCGCAGTTGCCGGGGCCTTACCTCGCCTCGCCCGGGTGCTGCCCCCTTCAGGCGGAGTTGGAGGTGCTGCGGAGGAGCCGGTGGCCGTGCGGCTGCGAGAGCGGTTGTTGGTGCGGGTGCGGGAGCTGATGCGGGTGTTGGTGCGGATGCGAGTGCGGATGTGGATACGCGTGGAGCTGTTGGGGCTGCGGCTTGGGTTGGGGCTGAGGCTTGGGTTGAAGCTGCGGCTGGGATTGGGAATGTGGCTGGGGCTGGGATAGGGGCTGGGGCTGGGGTTGGGGTTGGAGCTGGAGCTGGGGCTGGGGCTGGGGCAGGGGCAGGGGCTGCGGCTGCGGCTGCGGCTGCGGCTGCGGCTGCGGCTGCGGAGGCTGCTGCTGGACCAGGTGCTGCTGCTTCTGCCGCGTGGACTTGACCGCCAGGATGGCCTGGCGGTTCTTGTACTGCACCATCTGCAGCGTGATCTCGGCGTTCCAGCCTTGGTCCTGCGGGCACCGAAAGTCGATCTCCTTGCCTTCGGCCATCACCACCGTGAAGTACATGTACTTGCCCTTGCGCTCCACGCAGTCCACGGTCTTCATGTTGGAAAAGTGCAATTCCTTGAGCTTGGCCGGCGGCTCGAGGATGGCGGCGGTGGGCGCCCCGGGCTGGGACGGCTCGGCGGGCCCCTGCCCGGGCTGCGGCGGCGGCGGCGGCTGGAGCTGGAGCTGGTGCTGGTGCTGCAGCTGCTTGGGCGGGATGAGCAGGAGCCCCTCCTCGGTGAGGATGCAGCACTTTTTCTTCCAGAGCTGCAACAGCCCGTCGCTGCGCTTCTCCAGCACCCCCTCTTTCAGCGCCTTGCAGCCGCTGCTCTCCAGCATCTTCCCGGCATAGGAGGGGGCGCCGCTCGGCTCGGCCTCTCGGCTCCCCGGCGCCCGGGCCGGGGGCAGCGGCAGCAGCCGCGCTCCGTCCTCGCCCCGGCGGGTCCCGCGGCGGCCGGCCGCCCGGAGCGCGCAGAGGAGGCCGACGCGCAGGAGGCACAGCGACGGCGGCTCGGGGTCCGGGCAGAGGAGCAGCCGCGTCCCGAGGCGCCACCGGGTCCCCTCGCTGCGAGCCGCCGGGCCTCGGCCGTCCTCCTGCGAGCGCTCAGCGAAGGGCACTGGCCGGGCCCCCTCGCGGCGCTTTTGAATGGGCCATCCTCCCCACCCCCGAGTGACACCCAGCGGAAAAGGCGGCTCCCGGCGCCCGCCGCGCGGGGGGAAGCCCGGCTCCGAGCGGCACTCCGCCGCGGGCGCACGCCTCATGAACTTGGGGCCGGGCCAGCGCCGGCCGCGCCCGCGCCCCCTCCCCCGCTCGCCCCGCCTCTCGCCGCCCACTCGCTTCCTCGTCCCTTCCTGAGGGTGCCTGCGGGGACCCGAGCCCCGGAAACCCCCCCTCTCCTGCAGGACCGACAAGTCAGGAGTGCCCCCGCTGGCCGGCGACAAATGCCAACTCTCCCAGGGCGCTGGGAGGCCACCCCTTCTCCCCCCCCCCCCCCCCACCCTCCGGCCGGCGGGGCCGTCTGCTGACCGGCTCCGGACGGGAAGGGGGGCTGCGAGGGGCGCCCAGCGACCACACGGCGCCCGGGACGCCGGCCTCCCCCTCCGCCCGCTGGCCCAGCCCTGCGATCGCGCCGGGCGCCGCAGCCCCGCGGAGCCGAAGTCCTGGCCCAGACAGAGCCCGGGGGCTGAGGAGGAGGCTCGCGAGCCGTGGGATCCGGGGAAGTGTGCCCTCCGCGACCCTACGTAAACGTCTCGGTGCACAAAGGCCGGGAGGACACGGTGTCTTTGCACTCGTTTGCTCAGGGTCATCGCGTCTTCCTGGGGCAGAGAGGGCAATTGTTAAGCAATAGCGCTCCCGTCTGTCCTGTTTGGAAGGGGTGGAAGGAAGGCGACCTCAGAGGGCACCTCGCCTCCCTTCACTAAACAGCCTATCTTCTTCACCTTGGACACAAATTCTCCAGCTTCCCTCTGGACCCATCGGGACGGTCTGCAACCTCTCACAACAGTAACTCAACTCTTATCTAAATCCCGGGATCTTCCCGTGCTGAGACTATAAGGGCAAATGGGTCTCCGTTGGTCCCTCTCTTTACAAATGCCTATGGGGCCAGGTCTTTGTTTTATAATTCATATGTGATCTGGGGAAGGTGATGCTCTCTCGTACTTCCAATTTCTACAGAAATTCCGAGAAACAAGCCAGAATAAAGAGCATAAACTGAAACCAAACCTCTTGATGGGAAAATTCATCCACTAAGTAAACAGAGATCCTCTGTCCTGACCTTGAGGATGTGAAGAAGAATCGCACGGAGAAGAAATAAACCAGTGGTGGGCAAGTCAGGATTGGTCACGGTTAAAGGAAAGGCTGCTGCGTGTGCCAAGAAGCAGGGAGAGCTTAAGTTCATCTGCTAGTTTCTTATGGCTGGAACGAGGAACTCAACAGGGGAAGAAGTGATGAGAGATGAGCTTGGAGATGAGCAAGAGTCAAATCCTTTGTGCTATGTTAAGAAATATGAATTTAACCCCAAGGTAATCAAGAACAAAGGATAATTTTGTACAGGAGGATCCTGAATCTTAATCTAAGAAACCGTGTCTTGGCAAATGGGACAATCCCAGCACAATCCCGAGTCCCACTGAATTTGCAGTTGGCAGGTTCTCAGGACCTTCACATTGTTTAATGGGCTAGCAGTCTTTTTTAAAGAAAAGGTCAATTAAAAAAAATTATATAGATGTTTGGTAAGATGATGTAAAAAAAAAAAAAAGGGTAAGCAAGTTTCTATAAAAATAAACACTACCATGCACATCTCAGACCTTTCCTTGTCTTTGTAGGACAAGTGAGCATTCCAGAGAATTTCTGCATGACCAGCTGTTCATCTTTTTAACAGAATGCCATTCTTCAGCTCATTTGGAAAGAATACTTCCTTTAAGTATGTAATTCAGAGTCCCCAAAGGCAGGTGAATTTGGGAAAGACATTTTATATGAAAAAAAAAAAAAGTGGTACAATACAAACCTGATTGGGTGAAAAATAAGATGTAATCTGGAAGCCGAAACCATTTTCTTAAGAGAAATTCAATATATTTGGTGTTATCTAATCTGCAGTTTATCAAGATGCAACACACACATTCTATTTAAATTTCTTCAGAATGTCAAAACAAGCACAATTTTCAAAAGCACTTATTATAATTAGAGACTTTAAAACTCGGAATTTCCAGTTGGATATTTCATGGCTTAGTGACTGTCACCAGTTTAGAAGTACTTGTTCTCTCTGACCATAGGGCATTGATTACTGGAAATCTCAGGAGTATAAGAGTCTTGTAGATGGCGACAGCTTTGATCACCACCAACTCACAAAAACGATCCTATTGGATGAAATAAATTCACAAAATATGAATGATAAGAAATAACTGTTCCAAAGAAAAACCACAAATTCAGTTGTAGATATAATGAAAATCTATGAGTATCATTTAGAAGTTATTAAAATTTAGAAAGCTGGCTAACAAAGTAATTGCTCTGATAAACAATTTGAAATGGCTAATCAAATTATATATCAATGGCTGGCTGCATCAGATTGTCTATCAGTAGCATCTGACACAGTTTATTATTTTCTCCTTTTGGATACAGTTCTTCATTTGGCTTCGAGGACACCTCCCTGGTCACTGTCTCAGTTTCTTTTACAGAGTCACCCACTTTGTCCCAATCTTTTCATATTAGTCTCATCATTTTCAATAATATCTATATGCCAAAGACTCTCAAATTAATATCCAACTACTTGTTGATAAAGAATAAAACAAAGACTACCAGCCCAGGCAGTGTTGCGCAGTGGTTGAGCATCGACCTATGAACCCAGTGGTCACTGTTCAATTCCCAGTCAAGGCATATGCCCAGGTTTTGGGCTCAATTCCCAGTAGGGACCGTGCAGGAGGTAGTGGATCAGGGATTCTTTCTTTCTTTCTTTCTTTCTCTCTCTCTCTGTCTCTCTCTCTCTCTCTTCCTCCGCTCCTCTCTCCTGTCCTTTCCTCTCTCTCTCTCTTCCTCCTCGCTCCCTCCATCCTCTCTTTCTCTCTCTCTCCCTCTCTCCCTCCCTCCTCTCTCTCTCTCTCTCTCTCTCTCTCTCTCTCTCTCTCTTTCTTTCTTTCTTTCTTTCTTTCGTTTAATATATATCTTTTATTTTTTACAGAGAAGAAGGGAGAGGGATAGAGTTAGAAGCATCAATACGAGAGAAACATCGATTAGCCACTTCCTGCATGCCCCCTACTGGGGATGTGACTGAAACCAAGGTTGACCAGAATGGAACCTGGGACCCTTCAGTCTGCAGGCTGACACTCTATCCACTGAGCCAAACCGATTAGGGCTGGTGTTTCTTTTATCTCTCTTCTCACTTCTTCTCTAAAATCAAGATATTTTCTTAAAGAAATTGCTCAAAAAAAAGAAACACATGCGCACACAGAATAAAACTACCAACGTTTAAAAAAAGGTACTACTAGCATGCCACGCAAGGGAACACATACTCGTGAAGACACTCTCTGAGTAGTTCACTAGAAGAAAAAATATGAGGGGATTTAATATATATATATATATATATATATATATATATATATATATATATGTTATTGATTTCAGAGGGGGAGAGGGAGATAGAAACATCAATGATGAGAATCATTGAGTGGCTGCCTCCTGCATACCCCCTATTGGGGATCAAGCTCTTAATCTGGGCATGTGCCCTGACTGAGAATTGAACCCGGGATCCTGCAGTCCACAGGTCCACACTCTATCCACTGAGTCAAACAAGCTAGGGCTATGAGGGGATTTTAGATCATAGAAAGCAGGATTCAACCCTAGCTGGTTTGGCTCAGTGGATATAGAGTCAGCCTGTAGACTGCAGGGTTCCAGGTTTGATTCTGGTCAGGGGCACGTGCCCAGATTGTGGGCTCCATCCCCAGTAAGGGGAGTGCAGGAGGCAGCAGATCAATGATTCTTTCATCATTGATGTTTCTTTCTCTGTCTTCCTCCCTCTCTGAAATCAATAAAAATATATTTAAAAAACAAAAGAAAGCAGGGTTCACAGAGTGTTTGCTAATAAAAAATTGATAAGCAGTGCTCTAGAAAGTATGAAGTTCATGTGTTTATATATGATGGGTTAAAAAAGTTCCTGGATGGAATTTGTTCAGTAAAGGTCTGAAGTCACCTAGAGATCATGAATTTTTAACAGCTTTAACTTGTTAGAATGGTTGTAGTTAAAACAACCTTCAGTTTTTATATATTGCAGGCCAATATTGCAAGTTGAACATTTCCCTTTTATCCTTCTCTACTGTAGTATTTGGATGTCTAATAGAGAACTCAGATATATGTGCTCCCAAGCTAATCTCCTCACCATGACCTTCACCTGAAGCCCCCTTCTCAGTTAGTAGCAATACCATCTGAACAGTTGTTCAGGCCCAAAACCTTAGAGCAGTACTGCCCTTTAAACAGAGAGCCTTTGCTCAGAGCCCTGAACTTTAAGAGTCAAAAGGGCATTTCTATCTGGAGCACACTCATTCTAGACTATACCCCAAGTACTCAGGATTCCAAAGACCCTGCCTAAATGGCCTCAACTGTTCCAGAGTATGCATTATATCACCAGTGTGCACTGGTGTGACAGGAGGGTGAATTTTGAACATACAGACTAGGGTGTCCACACAAATAAATGTGCGGGGGATGCCTGCTGCCATAGAACTCAGAGCCAGGGATGCGAAGAGAAGCAAGATGAGGATCAGTAATGTTCTGGCACTGGACTTAAAGAGTCTGAAATTTGCCCAGACTCGGTGGTTGAGCATTGACTTATGCATCAGAAGGTCATGGTTCAATTTCCAGTAGGGCACACACAGACTGAGTGGCCAGATAATTATGCATTCAGAGATCACAATAATCTGGACACTCAGTGTATATTAGGTGTAATTTTTTAAATGGGTAACTACTACACATGCTAGGCCTCAGAATGTAAATGCTATTTACTCTATAGATGCTATCTAAAATAAGTCCTACAAACCTTTCCTTTTCAAATCGCATGAAATTTAATATTGTGATAGGTATTTATATAAACTACCATCCTATTGGTTTCTCTTAAGAGTAAACAAAGGACAAAAAACAGTAATGGAATTGACTTAATAGCAGTTAAATGGCCAAATACTTGATTAAAAATCCATTAATTAATACTGATTTAAAAGCATCTGATTTCAGAGGACTTGAAGTTGCTAAGAACTGCTTATTTTCACTTATAACTTGATTACAAAAATCTTTAATCTATTAAACTCCAATTTGCAATGTGCAATAAAAACTTGACTGATTATTAAAGATATAGGCACAGAAAAGTTCAAGTCTTTCAAAAAAGTCAAAAGCCAAATAACCTACAACTCTCAGTG